GCCGTTGTTGAACTTCAGGAGGTTCCTCTCCCCCCAGCCTGTCCAGGTCCCTCTGAATGGCAGCACAGCCTTCTGCTGTCAGCCACTCCCCCCAGTTTAGTCTCATCAGCAGACTTGCTGAGGGTGCACTCTGTCCCTTCCTCCAGGTCATTGATGAATAAGTCGAATAAGTATTGATTCCTGGGGGACACTGCCGGCTACAGGAGTCCAGCTAGACTTTGAGCCACTGATCACAACCGTCTGAGCTCTGCCATCCAGCCAGTTCTCAATCCACCTCACCACCCACTCATCCAGCCCGCGCTTCCCGAGCTTGCCTATGAAGATGTTTTATTTCATATTAGAGGATTTTATAGCTGAGATTCAAGTAAGATCAACATACCTAACTGTGGGTGTCTAAATAGGTGCTAGATGTCTAAGCTGCCATTCAGAGATCAAAGGCTTAGTTCACCTAATTAAATATAGGTCGTCTAGTGGCATTTGAGATGCCTTAAAGTATCCAGGACACGTAGGTGGGGTTGACATCAGACCTATGGAAAACCCATTCCTTTCTGGAGCATGAGCTGGAGCCCAGGCAGGATATGCAAGGAGATCTCAAATGGCACTAGAAACTCAGGCAGCTGAATCTCATCCCTAGTAAATACAGTTAATGAAGCCTGAGCAATGTAGCTCATTAGCCACTAGATGTCTTCTTCAGGGAGAGCTGAATCTTTGTTTAGAGCCACTAGATGTCTACTTCAGGGAGAGCTGAATCTTTGTTTAGGTTCCACTGTCTACTTACCTATGATATGTATGGTGCGGCCATCACTAGCTATTAATAAAATTTTACTGGCTATTAATACACATTTAAACCTGAATTTACTTGCCCACACATATGTGTCTTGTCCCATTTGCAATGCCCCAAGATATCCAAGACATCTATATGGGGTTGGTTGGTGTAGCACAAGATCTGTAAAACACTTAGCACCCCTCTGCAACTGCAGCTGAAGGCCAGGCAGGATGCTCCAGAACACCTCAAAAGGCATTACACAGGGCCAGGAGGCCTGAACCTACAAAGAATTCCTGAAATTCCCACAGGCAGAACCGCTAGAGATTCTGACGTATTAGAGCTATGTGACTTTCTTTGGATGAGACTGCCCGAAGACTCTGGCTCCTCTTGTCCATTCTCCAGATTCATTTCAATTACCACTGTGCAGAAGAAGAGGGGCAGAATCCAGAGGTTCTGGCTGGACAGCAGGAAGCAACATTTTATTTCAAGTTACTTGAAACCAAAATTTCTTTTTTTCTTTTATCAAATTCGGTTCTCATGCAAAATTGATAAATCCAAGCCTTGCCATTCACACATGCATGACTTCTTAGAAAATTGTAAGAGAAAAGATCAGCTAGGATGCAGAATGTTCAAGTTGCAGTCTAGATAACTTGAGATGCTAAATCTGCCTGTTAGACTTGACAGCAGATGAGTTCAAAAATCAGTATCTGAATGATGCACAAGCTTTCTGCTTCATGTATAATATGATTCTTAGTTGCAAGTAGTAACCATATACTTTTAGATTTTCCATTGGAATGAATATAGATAAGTTAGGTGTACTGATTATAAAAAGGTGTGATATAGAATGCTTTCAAGTAAGACCAAATTATTTTGCATACTTTTTCTGACTTTCACTAGTGTCAGAATCTGCTGTGTGCATTACCTTGTGACATACATAACTCAGTGTTGTGAAACAATGTAGTGACAAGCAAACTGAAAATAATCCTTACTGGCTTTGAAGACAACAGGTGTACAGAGTTCCCCTTCAGTATAGAGCAGTTTTGAATTTCCCAACTTTTCTACACAAATTTCTCCTGCTGCTGCTGTGACATTATCAAATCTGTAGAACTATAAATGCTGTGCAGCTGTTTATTTACTGTTTAAGATTATCTGATTGTTTCCCGCCAAAAGACAACAGGCCACCTACTTCTTAAAAAAGTAATTAAGAAATGTGACATACAACTGATGGTTCACAATGTTAAATGAACTTAGACACTATAAAATAGACATTTGGACTTTTCCTATTATTGATCTGATTGATTTATTCATGATATGTGTTACCTGTATTCCAAGTGGGACCTTTGCTTATGTAGGAAACATCTATTAGTATGGCATTATTACCACAGATGTAATCCATACATAGTTTGCTTTTTGATGACTATTTTCTATTGTACTTGGATATGCAATCACGAGTCTCTCTCTTTTGTTAAGAAAATGCCCAGTGATGTCACTGCATAAACAATAGATGCTTATTTTTCTTCATTTCTTTTTTATTGTTAGGTTGACAGTAAATGAAGTTGCAAGGCATGCAGCAGGTTTCCAGACACCAAGCATCAGTAGAATTTAAATATTTTGTAAATGGAAACCATTTACAAAACCCAAGAGCTAACTAATAAGTGCAGTAGTTCTAAAATTAAGTTATGTAAGAAATTATGGTTACGGCATTCCAGAAGTAGGAGGCCTGAGTTCCATAGCCACTTACCTTTCATACATCTCTGAGCAGAACCTCATAGTTAGGTCATGTTTCCTAGGAGTGGAAACTGTGAGTTTAAACTCCCCTCTATAGGGTTACGAGATTTCATATATAATCATACGCTTAGCATTTCCTCTTGGCCACCTCCAGGCAGGTTTCTGTCTCAGCATGAAGGATTTATAGATCCCATCCTGACGTGCATAGTTGTACTTCTTTTGTTGATATCATGGCTTCCAAGCCCTGGAGGGGTTTTCGCACCTGTTAGGAGAGGAAGGCTCTGACGTGTATAGTAAGACAGGGAATATATTACTAAGTGGCTTTGAATATATTCAAAGTAGCCCCTACCCACCTACAAACTCCTGCAAGCCCCTACCAACACACAACTGTTCTAAACTATTATTAATGCTTTCATTTCTTTCGGGTACAGTGACAATTATTTTGTCATATTTTGTCTTCACTTACAAACAAAATACATAACTTCAGTTTGTTCAATATACCTAAGCAAGGCATCTAACCCAAAGTGGGGCGCTAGTTTACCTTATTCTGTCTATGTAGTCAATGAAGAGAGGTGGGCTTCCTCAAAGGATATGCAGCTCATCTAACAGCTTCTGTCTTCTGAGGAGCCTCTCCCTAAAGGCAATTGCTGCGAATACCCTTCTCTTTCTTATACTGCGGTATGCTTCTGCTACAAAATTATGCTGGATTATGTGTCAGTGTCATATTTTGAAAGCCACCTGCATGTTACAATTTTGCCCTCAGAACCCCAAAATTATATATTTATTTCTCAAAACTGATCAGATACTTTGAAATCATTTGAATTTCAAATGTCAAATACCTACAGGAGTTAACACTCTTTTTATTTCTGTTAATTACTCAAAAAGAAAATTTGTAAGTCCAAAGATACAACCTATCAGTCTTGCAGCTCACGTCTGAACAGTGTGAGAATGCAGACCTGATGCCCTGAGGACTGTTGGCATAGTGTAACTTTCTTTATTAGCAATTTCAAGCACTGATGAGGAAGATACAATTTTGCCAAGTATAAGTTGTCAGGTGTATTTGCATTGAGACTGTTTCACATTCAGTGTACAAAAGTAAACAGATGTAATTCACCAGGAAGCTCCTGCTTTATTTGCGCAGTATGAGAAAGTGAATAACCACTGTTTCCAAAACTGCTCCAAATATAGATTCCAAATCTATATTGAAGATACAGATATACGGCTAAGGAATTGTAATAATTGTAATAACACACTAATCTTATATCTTAATAGTATACAGAAAATATTTTCATTTAAGTAGTACAATATTTTATTTCCTTGGCATAGAGCAGACTCTATTTTTAAACATATTATTACCATAATAATAAAACACCTGCAGGACCATAAGATGGTATTTTTGAAAGATTCTTTTGAATCAGAGGAAAAAATATGCATTACTGGAAGACTAAACAGGTTCTGTTTTAGAATCAAATAATTAAAACATAAGCTTTCCCATTAATATCAATGTCATTAGTGTCTAGATAATCAACTCTGATCGTCTATTATGAGAAATTTGCCTCAGGAGGTATTTCAAATAGCATGTTACACTGCTCTTAGTGACTGTTTGGAGACCAAGTTTTGCACATTACTGTGACATGTGAAGAAGTACTTATACACAGAGAGAGTTATGAGGCAAAGCCTCAGTTAGAAAGGTTGGCTGCGCTGATGGATCAAAGTGAATAGAAGAACATATGACGATCATAAGGGAATTAGACAGCCTTGAGATCACAAGACATAACACATAGTACCAGCTAGGGGAGCGGTGGGGGCACAAGAGCTGTCATAGCTGTATTACCAGCGGCATGTGCAGCATACTTTCCCTGTCCCATGACAGGAGCCGCGTTGCTGTACGATCCTTCCCCCCTCCATCTTTGTTGCTGCTTCATCCAGGCCTTACAGAGTGTAAAATGGAGAGAAAAGATTTAAAAGTCACAATAAAAACAGGATATGTCATAACAGAAAACATTTTATAGGACATTGCTTAGGCAATAGTGTCAGTTAGGTGTTTCCTTGACAATTTACTGTTAAAACAATAAATTAAGTAGCAATGGTAACTTGCATTTTAATTAAGGTAACCAAAGCAAATGATTCCATATGAAAAAATAAGAATCATAAAAATGGCATTGCTATAATAAAAATATTTAGGAATGAAATAGCATATGTTGTGTGATCCAGAAATCTAAGAGCCCTTCAGCTTGGATATTACCTTATTCTTTCTGATACCCATGCATACAGAAGTATCTCCAGCAGCTAGCATCAGTGCAGCAAATAACATTTCTCGTCTGTTAACACCAGTGTCAACTGACACAATTTAAATTTAAGACGCTTATGAGAATGTCACATTTCTAAAATGATTCATACAAAAAAAAAAAATTATTGCTTAAGACTGCATCAAGGATCCAATGAAACTCTGTACCTGGTTTAAACTGAGGAAGAATTGCTTTATCTAGATAATGAGGTTTTTGTACCTGTCAGACCACCAGCCTGTGAGTAGCAATATATGATGTGTATTCTTTAACATCAGGTAATTCTATTTCCATTACTATTAAAAAGTATAGTCTAGAGAAACAAAAAATGGAAGATTAGACAATAATCACCATTTCTGTGAGTGCCAGGTCAAGAGTTCAGTCCTGCCCTCCATCACACACACATATATCACTATGATAGGTTCTTTGCCTAACTTCTGCAAAGTCCTTGGCTGTGTCCTAGAGGACACCACGATTCAAAAGAACTAGATTAATCACAGTTATGAACTCTTACTGTTTAATTAGTCTAGAAAGGAAAAAGAATAAACCAAAACAAACAAACGAGCAAACAACCCCCCAACATTAGTTATTTCAGCTAAAACCATCTGTATCTTTTTCTGGAGAGCTTTCAGTTGAGATCGTCCTCCTCCACATAAGCATTACATTTTTATGTATCACTGAAAAGATTAAAGAGAAGAGGAAGGTGAGTCCTGTTTCTTATCTCACCTTTTCTAAAGACTACACATTTAGAATCTAAAACCTGAACTTGTGTGCTAACTGCCTAAAGTGTGACTGAGATGGAAGAGAGGTATCCCAGTCTAATACTATGATTCAGGAGGTCGCCCATCAGCCGCTTCTGCCTCATACTGGAGATACTTCAACTTGATAGGGATCTTCCTTTAAGGTTCTCAGAAGTGTTGAGGGTTCTGCCTCTGCATGGCCAGACCTGCCTGATCCAAGCAGTTCAAGCCCCACCTCTGTTTAGGACAGATCATGAGGAAAAACAAAGGTGTCCTTCTTGTGGGGTTCAGTTACAATCGGACCCACAGAAACATGACTAAGTCCAGAGCAGAATGCACTGTCTTTTGAAGAAAAAACACCAATAATAGCAGAGCTGTCCAAATGTTACATGGTAGCACAGAGATTAGAGCACTCCAGGGAAAATGAGATCTGGATGTACCACCTGCTCTGTGAGAGGGGGTTTAAGTTCCCATTTGAAGAGACGCCACTCAAAGGCAGGCAGACTAAGTGTTTAGGGAATGAACAAAGGTTTCCTTTAAAGCATCTCCCAACTAGATGTCTGGTTTAAAAGGCTCTGCAGAACATTACCCCACACGAGCTACAAAACACTCTCAATATCCTAAGCAAACTCAGGACAACTTTAAACAGACTGAAGACTTTAGTAAGGACTAAAAGCTTCAACAATATTCTACCAAGGGAGAAGGATTACCAAAGGGAGGAAATGTCACTACGTTGCCGATTCCTGCACCGCATGAGTATTTGTCAAATAAAACAGCCAGGGGAGATTTCCTAAAAGGTTCTTTAATGATTCTCAGAATTTCAGAATTGATAAAAGCAGTCCGTTTTTCATGAAAATGAATTATCTCCGCATTATTTTTGTGAGTTTAAAGCTAAAAGAAAGCATGAAGATGAAACTGCGAAAGTTACAGCTTTTAGCAGCTTTTAAGGGGTTGTCTCATCGGGTGCAATAACCTCTCTGCTCTGAAAGTATAAAGAAAAACAGTATCTTTTCCTCCCTGACCAGGGCAAGGGAGAAGCACTTTGCCTTTTGCCACGAAGTTTGAGAACGGCAGTCCAGCTTGCTTCGGGCTCCACCACGAGCGCAGCCCCCGAGACGCCTTGCACATACACGAGAAGGGCCTCGAAGAGACATCCGGGCGGCCCCAGCCCCGGGGGGAGCCTGCAGCGGAGCCCAGAGCACGGAGCTGCGGCTCC